ACCACGTTTCCAAACACCAAGAAGAGAGTTGTAAATGCGACGCGTAGCGGAGTATTTTTGATGAACTTCGAGGTGTTTGGAAATTTATGTAGTCCAACAGTCTTGTGTGTTTGATATATCTTCTCAATCGAAACTAACACTGAAGAAAAAACGGAGAATTAATATCGTAAAAATCTATGCTAAGTGGGATCATCCATCCCAACTCGTGTCACGGTCATGATTTCCTTTGTTATAAGCTTGATGAATTATTAATGAGTTTGAGAAGTTTATCAGTAGACACTTGACGTGTTTTGGTGGAAATCGACGAATGTGATTAATTCTTTCATCCATGTCTATTCACTGACAAAACATGATGGCACCAGCGTTCACAATGTCCGGTATTGGCCATGAAATCCTGGCTTTCTGCACATCGATCTAATTCCATACTTGTCTGTGTGTGGAAGCGAGGAATGTTGTGACGAACTAGACATAAACGGCCTAATCTTGTGAGTATTTCATTTACAACTTGCGGTCAAATAGCGCACTTAAAGAAGTTTCTGTATCTACGTCTAAAGGTCTCTAATTTTTCTATTTTTTTTTTTAACCATTAGTTAACCGCATCTCTTACTTTCATAACTGCATCGCGCTTGTACTATCATTGTCATCAGTTGTTCTCCATTTTTCAGCCACTTCTAATCAAATAAAAAACTGACCAAACTGGTATTATACACTTACTGGTGATCTCTATCTTCGTTATGTTTGTTAACTTTTGTTTCCGCAGGATCGTCTTCTGCAAGAGAAGTAAACAAATCATTCATAACAAATACATGAACTGCCAGGATGTCTCTTATGTTGTTTATCAATTCAACTTTAGTTTTTTCACTCAAGACATGTCCAAGACGTGGTCAAAAATTCCAATGTGATGACGTAGCTCATGGTTGTAGCTCAATTTTGAATTTTCGCCCGCATGTGACGACCAATTATAGACTCATACGGCTCTCTGTACGGCTACGTCATCACTATGGAATTTTTCGGGTCGAAAGGCAAACGTCTTTCGAAGAGAGTAAGAACTGAGGATGCAGAGAAAGAAGTTTGACAGAGTAAGATTTTTAAACATGGGTTGGTTTAGAAAATAGACTGAGACTGCTTTCATGAGCTTTCACTTACCAGTTTCATCTTCTGGGCTCTGTTCTTTCGTAGGACCATTTTTGCCTACTGGAGAGTTTTCACCACTGCAAAAATTCAAACGCAAATGAATTGGGCACTTTTGTGAGTTTCATAAAAGAATGACCAAAAATATAATCGCCCTGAAACGCAGGGTTATCCGAAAATAGAATGTTTCAGGGACAGAAATACGCATTTACTTTAAAAATTCTAGGCTTAAACATTTCCGATAGAGAAATCAGTGGCTTTGGACGAAATTTCGACAGACACGTGCGAACCTTCTCGAGCCTTCTGGACGTGAAAAGGTTTGAAATTCAGACGGGGTACAAAAAGAACCCTCCCCCCACCCTCCACCTCCCACCCCTCAAACAGGGNACAACCAATCATAGACTCATACGGCTCTCTGTACGGCTACGTCATCACTATGGAATTTTTCGGGTCGAAACGCAAACGTCTTTCGAAGAGAGAAAGAACTTACGACTGCTTTTATGAGCTTTCACTTACCAGTTTCATCTTCTGGGCTCTGTTCTCTCGCAGGACCATTTTTGCCTACTGGAGAGTTTTCACCACTGCAAAAATTCAAACGCAAATGAATTGAGCACTTTTGTGAGTTACATAAAAGAATGACCAAAAATATAATCTCCCTGAAACGCAGGTTTATCCGAAAATAGAATGTTTCAGGGACAGAAATACGCATTTACGTTAAACATTCTACACTTAAACATTTCCGATAGAGAAATCAGTGGCTTTGGACGAAATTTCGACAGACACGTGCGAACCTTTCTCGAGCCTTCTGGACGTGAAAAGGTTTGAAATTCAGACGAGGTACAAAAAGAACCCTCCCCCCACCCTCCACCTCCCACCCCTCAAACAGGGCCTCTATATTAGCTCTGTGCCTGTCGACCGAAAAAAAAATTATTTGTCAAATGTTGTGCTAATTGGAGCACTGTGAATCCCAACTGCTGGGAAGCTGATCAGTTGACTATTTACCCAACACGGTCGAGGATTTGAACTCAGGAGCACCGAGAACAGATTCAGAAAGTGGTAGGGTAAAGGATTTCAACCAGCTACATTTGTACCTCCAGATTTTAAATCCAAATCAAACCCACTTGGCCACACCGCCTTCTCTACCCTTGATTAAAACATTGCCATCAAAAAAAAAAAACTCCACAACTCACCTTATCACTGCTCCCCTGAGAGCCTGTCTGACGTGATCCTCATCAGGCTCGTCAGCACTGCAAGGAATCACATCAGCTTCTGTGTACCTTGTTTTATGACATCACGAATTAAGGACAAGACAACAACAACCTACATCTTTGAATATCTATAGTTTGAGATTTTAAGTTTTCTATGAACACTGAGTTCTGATACTGCAAACTTCCTATACACCCCTCCACCTTATGAACAAAACAAGCCCAGGATATATTTTTGGATTTTCAAGGAGTTGACATCATTTCTGTTTTTATTTTTTGAACTCCTACAAGAAACAGTGGTGTCACAATATAGAAAGCCAGTTTGACAGAGAGGTAAACCAGTTAGACAGAGAGTTAAACCAGTTTGACAAAGAGGTAAACCAGTTTGACAGAGACGTAAACCAGTTTGACAGAGAAGTAAACCAGTTTGACAGAGGTAAACTAGTTTGACCGAGGCAAACCAGTATTACAGAGAGGTAAATCAGTTTTATAGGATACTGAGGTTTCCCATACTCTTCAGAATCGTCGCCATCAATATTGAGATCTCCATCATCTTCTTCCTCTCTCTTCCGTTTAATACCCGTTTGAAAACCTGATGCTGCAGAAAGAAAGAAAAAAATGCAAATGTCATTCTTCAAGTTCATATTACTGTAACAGAAAAGTAGAATAGGACTAGAAGTGTGCAGTTCCAAAAATTATCCACACCCATCCCATAGAAGGTCACTGAAAATGCCATGGGGGAGGGGTCTCAAGGGAAGTATGAAGCCAAAGTGAAATTCAGAGGGGCTGGGTCTCAAACCAAGAAGCAAAGCACAATACACAACAGGACAGACCTTGTGTTCAGTTAGGTAGTGGTGGGGCATATTTAGGAGTACAAGGGTTTTGAGTGCTGTGTAACTGTTCCAGTTCAGTTTCTGTCTGAATTCTTTAAGTAGTGGCTTGCCAAGTATGTGCAATGGTAAAATCAGCTTCAAGTGGATTCAAACCTTGCCCATCAGATTAAATGGTTAATGCCAACACATTTTCCTATAATAGTTATTGTGTCTGATGTCATTGCTCTGAGTCATACCATTGCTTGAAAGAGAATTGTGAAATTTAAAAGACATGACCCTAAACTCTGAAAATAATAATAATAATTAATTATAATTAACTCTACTCAAAAAAAAAAGATCCTGCCTAAGCTCTTTGGCTGACAAATTGTCTCAAGCGTCACTTAACAAGAAAAACACGTTACCTCTAAAGCCTCCTTCCAGTAGAGTTGTGGCTCGTATTCTGGTTTGTCCAGCCCACTCGTATTCTTCAAACACCTCCTGGCCATTAGTGTCATCAATGTCGTCAACACCACCACCCTCTTTCTACAAATCAAAGACAAGCAGTTCTTTCGTGAGAAGACCTCCAGCACAAGAACTTTAACCCTTTCACTCCCAAGATCTGAATGCAAATTTTATACCAGGGAAAGTTTGCAGCATTTCATACTAAGAAACACGTTTAAGATTTCTGGTCTAAATTTAATCACCCAGTCAGTCAGTGTGCTGGACCAGACCAACATTTTGCTGCTCAAAACGTCAAATTTACCACACTGATGTGCGATGACAAGCAATTTGCACTTGCTACAGTCTGTGTGTGACACTTTTAAAGAGTCAAATATTTGTTATTTCAGATGTATCAAACAAGGTTTGTATACAGATGAATGCGAGTGCAATGAAGGATTTACACTGCAAGTGATATTTGAAAATTCTCTCAAAATTGCACAAACCTTCACGCAAGTGTCATTTGAAAGAATTTCTAAATATATCACAAGACAAGTAAAATCCCTAAGTTCTTGAGGCTTCATACGATTACTCATTTACTACATGACTGGGAATTCACACAACTGTACACTTTCATTTGCACTGCTGTGCAAATTAAAAATTAATGATAAATTAACCTGCTCTCAACCAATCACAATGAAGTAATTTAATAACACAAACACACAGTAAGTACCTTTCTTAAGCAAGTTTCCACATGAGAATTTAACTCATCTCCATTTCCGTGAATCACTTCTCCACACACAGGACACAATGTTGTTTTTATTCCTGACGGTCCTTCCTCTCCACCTAGAGGTGAATTCACTGGTGAGCCTAAGATACAACAGAGAACATAGTAAGAAATTAGTATCATGATTCTATTTACTACTTTCTGTCCTAAAAGCACCCCTCCCCTGCTCAAACACACATGCCTTCCATTGCTCCATATTCTAACAACACAAGCAACCTTTACATTATGTTCCCTGCTTCCAAGTTACAGTCAAACCTCCTACAAGTGACCACCCAAAATGTCAAGCCTAGGTGGTCGCTTACGAGAACTTTGACCATATTGGGTCAAAATTTTGCCTCATTAACATACAGTAACTACTGAGACTTACCATGTTTTATTCATGTGAAAAGTCAATTGTGAGAAAAAAATCAGGAAACGTCCTATTGAGGAATTTTTGTCTCTTGTGCTACCCAGAAATGTGATAATGTTACAACACCATATTATTCAATTTCTGCTCCATTATCTGTCAAGTGGTTGCTTACAGGAGGTTGAAAACGACAGAAAATTTCAAACTTTTAAGCTCTAAAAAAGCTTACGAGAAGTGGTCGCGTACAAGAGGTTCCAGATATGGGGATTTGACTTAAAAACCTTTCGTATTTTGGAAAACTGGTCCCTGAGGAGAGGTGGTGGCAACCGGAGGCTCCACTGTAATATAAAAATTCTTCAAAAATTAAGAAAGCTCCCATCCTGAGTAAGTGCCTTTTCTTCAAAAACACTGTCTCTTCAACTTCTTAAATTCAACTACCTCACAGGGATATAAAATTATTTTTATGAGATAGACAATGACCTGCCTTTGACATCACAATCAAAGTTGATGTTAAGTCAAAAGCTGTAAAAACCCTTGAATTTAAGTTATAAAATTCAGGTAACATGCATAAGCCCACTTTCCTTGGTTTAGTGAGAAAAAACATATTTTTGGTACAGGAATTTAATATTAAATTTATATTTCTGGAAGGTAACTACATGTAGATTCTGTTGTAAAGCAAAATAACCCTTCAGTTTCCCAAAATCCTGAATGGAGCAATGACTATGGCTGGACAATACAGGTGTACAAAATAAGGCACACGTAGATGATTCAAGCTGCCCTACATGCCAGCAGGCATAGGGCAACTAAGTAAAGCCCGGTCCTCACTAGCGATGCAAGCACAAGGATAAGCGTAAAAAAGAAGCTTATTCACTAGTGAGGGTGGCCACGACATAAGCATAAGCATAAGAATATCAAAACCTTGCGTTCTTCTTATGCTTATACTTATGTCTCTATAGTGTCCAGTGAGGACATGTTGGTATAAGCATAAGCATAAGACTATCAGCCAATCAGCGAGAACTTTATGCTTGTGTCAACATGTCCTCACTAAACATAAGCATAAGCATAAGAAGAAAGCTTATGCTTATGCTATGGTGCTCCTCACTAGCGCATACACTGTAAGCTTCTTGTGCTTATGCTTAAGCTTGCATTGCAAGTGAGGACCTGGCTTAAGGTCATTCCCCAGTATTGCATAATTTCATGCATGATTAGCGCATGTGCATTAAAAAATGGTGGCTTTTTCTTTACAGCTGGACCTCGCCATAGAGGTAAATCCTCATTTTCTCCCAAATGAGTATAGTGACCTATCATTTTTTTCTGTTGTTTTGAATTGAGTAATAAATTTCACTGTGTAAAATAAATATGGACCAATTCTTAGTGTAGAACAAAAAGCGATCATCGGAAACATGAATTTAGCAAGCAATCGTGACTACAATCATGGTGCTATTATAAGGATTTATATGGGTACAAACAAGGTGCTGTTGCTCCTAAACGAACATGGGGATCCCTCATTTTTATTTCAAAATTTAAGTTCTTATAATGTAAACGATCAATACGCAAAGTTTGACAAAAATCTCAGTACAGGTTTTATTTCAGTGGAATGACCTTAAGTAAGTAAGATGCTTCAGAACTGATAGGATTTTACAACATTAGAGGAGTAGCCTACTTTGAGAGCTTCTGGACCTTGTTGGCTTGAGCGGTGTTGAACGGCCACTTCTTGCCATTCTGTTGGCACACACTCTTAAATAAGTCTGTTGTTATGAGAGAGAAGATATTTTAGCCACAGGTAAAGCAATGTTCAATATAAAATGTATTTTTCCAGAAAATATCTGTACCTGTCCTAGGAAGGGCTGCTTTGGTTTGAACCACCCCCTCCCCCCCAAAAAAAATCCTCTGGTTCGAATTTTGGTTCATATTTGACTTTAAAGATTCCAACCCCTCTGCCCTTTGGAATTTCAAAAAAAAACAACAACAACAACAGTGGGGTTAAGACCAAAAATCTCAGATTCTGCTGTTTCAGTACAATGATTGAAAGCATTTTAAGTTTACCAAAAACACAACGATTGACCAATCACAGCATGTGTTATATCTTGGGTATATTATTACAGCCACCCTTTCAGTATAACTTACCTGCTGTCTGGTACTGGCTGGTGTGTCATCAGGGTGATTTGAAGGGTTTCCTTTGAATTCCTGCTTTACCTTCTTCTGGTAGGCTTCACCATTCTGAAGAAAAAAAATTGAGGCTGAGTACAACCTTCGTAAACTCCCAGAAGTGTGAGGATCAAACAAGAATATGGAAGGATGGGAGTTGGATGAGATTACTGTCTGCACAAGGATGTGGTCTAAGAAAAATCACAAGGAGCCCAAAGATTGCTAACCATGCAATCCCGGGTGCCCAGCACTTAAACTTATATGAAAAAAGTGTTTTTCCAGTTGCCCAAAGGCAAAAGTTAGTTGCCTGTGGCACCCAGGCACTTCTAGAGCACAGCCCTGCTACTCTTGTAGACCATCATGAGCTTTATTGCAGAGTGAGACAAGCTAAGAGCAAGCAAGAGCACTAGAAATCATCTCCCTGTCAACAAATACACACTTTGTATGGATTCCCAGGAAAATGCAGGCATGTTCAGATTCAAAGAGAGAAAATCAGTGAAAGCCTACCATAAGAGTAGGAACAAGGGTTTGCACTCTTGTTGGCTTTCACACTTTTTTGATCCACAACATCAGTTTGATATCCCACAGAAATTTCACTTTGATAAAACATCTGTTACTCTTACTAACAGGATTCATATTTACTACAGATAAACCATAGAATATTAAGAACATGTAACTGAAATAGTTTCAACTTATCCCAATCAGTAATAAAAGAATTGCACAGTCACCAGAAGGAAAAATTTATTTCTTGACATCAGAGTTTTGAGGAATAACATTTAGGAACTTGTTATATCATCATTGTAAACTGTACCTTCCGTGCTTGCATAGCAGACTCTCTTTGACTTCTTCTGAGTTTTCTGTTGAAACAGGTAAATTCTACAGTAAGCTCTATGGCATAACTTTTAAGCCAAATGAAGCAAACTGATAGAAATCGACATATAATGTGTTAAGTAAGCAATTTTATATTGAAGAAGGAATGTGTAGTGTTCCAGGAAGTATCCATACCTCCCCCCACAGAAGAGAAGACCTCCCCCGACCCTCACGAAATTCCAAGTAAACTTCATACATTTCTTTAAAGTGCACCTAACCCCCAATTTTTTTTTCGCTAAAATGAATTTACTTGTTATTTGAAATAATTCTGCGAAAAAAAAATTTGGATTCAGTTCTACTGGTAGTGTACTGGACTTCAAATCAGGCAGTCCCAGTTTCAAGGGTATCACTAAGGGCTGGACACAGGGCAAATTGGCAAGCTGTGGGGATGATTTTGCCAGGCTAGTTTGACTATCAAATGGAAAGTTTTTCTTATAAAGAAGTTAAGTTCAAATAGTTTTGCCCGCCTGTGAAAACCAATTGCCCTCATGCCAAAAATGTTAATGAAACCCCTGTCAAGTTTGAGGCCTGCCGCCTGGCTGGGTACACCCTCATCTTAGATAAAATAATTGTGTATTATCTATGTGTACAAACTAACCTGTTTTCATCACAGAATCTTTCCATTTCCCAAGCAAAGTGGCTTTCCATTTCACCAGGCCTGATGCTAGTGCCACAAACAGGACAACATGGCAATTGCATTGACGATGATCTCCGCCTTCCTGGAGGTGTTGCAAGAAAGGAAGAAAAATTGCATCAATAAACACAAAAAGTATCATACAATGTCTCTAGCACTACTCTATAAATTTATAACATAGACCTGGAATTCATAATGAAACAGTAAATATTTTTAGAGGGTCTGCATATAACTTAATTTGAGGCAAAAACAATTAAGTTCCAAAATTACAGACAAATTACCAAAAATAAAGTTATGCTCACCATTCGACAATGTGTTGTTCTAGAGGGTATCTATAGAGCATTTTCACTGGCATGGCCAGCACCATGAAAATTTATAGGAACAAGAAAAGGAATTAAATAAGAAAAGATTTCAACTCCCACAGGATTGGTTTGGTACATAAACATGGCCACCGTTTCATTGTTTTCGGACAATATGTCTGCAGTGGCGTTGTGTGAAAACAATCTATACCCACTGTTGTCATGGAAGGTTTTTCTAAGCCAAACAATTACAACATCATGCAACATCCACAAATGTTGCATGGAAAATTTGATCATTTTCAAATTTGAGCCAACAACACCCAACATGTTACAACATGTCGCAACACGTTGCAACAGGGTGGCAACATTGTTGCTCCCAACAATGCTGCGATATGTTGTGTTGAAATGTTGCAATTGTTTGGCCGGGGCTTAAGTCTTTAAGAAAAATCAGTCATCTTTCAAGAACTCTGAGGGAACTAGTCATCCTTCATAACATCTGTAACTTGACAGAACTTTGACTGACTGTCCATCAAAAGACACGCTTACTATGGACTCATCTAGCAGCTATTTATTTAGGCTAATTAAGGAACATTGAACGTCTACATGTGGAATACAAAAATGACAAGCACAAAGAAAATTGTAGGAAGTATCATTTTAACTAAAGCGTGTCAGAGCTTCAGTTGAAACCAAACTTCTGTCTTAAAATATAATAATATTGTAACCACAAAAACAACGTGGCCATTACTTTTTGGATTGCTGCTTAAACCCATTCATCCACATTACAAGGGTAAAAAATTAATATTCTTACATTCAAATCTATGTTTTGGCCAGCTCTTACAAGTCTCCCTAACTAAGTGGAAGTGTACTAGTGCTCAGAAAATTGCAGTTTGACGACTCTGCCTCAGAAACCTTTTTTAAGAGTAACTGGCTGATCAGCATATTTCCCAAACAATGTAATTTGGATTCATGATACTGAAAAATCAACCAAAGAGAAAGTTCTTCTTCATCACAACTGGATTAAGAGAGGTGAAAACATTATGAAAGGCCATAATTAACCCAAAAATTTAACACTAAACAAAATAGAAGGAGCTCAACTTGAACAACATTCTGGAGGGGATGGAATGGTTTCTTAGCAATGTCAGCGAAGCTGGCAATTAATACGACCCAAAGCATACTGAAGGAAATTTTGAAGAAGAAACAAGTATAACTTTACATCTACCTAAAAAAAATGTCTGTAAGACACATACAACATCGCTTTTATTCATGAAAATTTCAGCCCAAGTTTTCAGTAGCTTTTTTAATTTCATCATTTCGTTAAAATGTGTAACAGGCAATTACATAGTGTATAAGACAATGCAAGCATTGTACTGCTACAAAGACATCGTATATTCAACCTAGCACGGGTGGTTGTTTTTTCTTGATAGAAGATAGAAATCTATCTGTTGTCTGCTCTATCTGTTGAGAAGCATGTAAGGTCTGGGCGTATTTCTTCAAGGGTGGATAATGCAGTCTGTACACGTGTATGCTGGATAATCCACTAAATGGCACTTTGTCTGGTTGTTAATGCTACACATCTTTGGAAACAATCAATGATTAACAACACAGTTGGATGACTACAAAATTAAAAGTCGTACCAAAGGTGTGATATTTTTTGCATGAAAATAACCAAGCCACTTTTCATTGTTACTATTTACTGAAAATAAAAGGTGTAAGCGACAGAATTTATTTAACAAAAAAAAAATGCACATTCTGTTGCCACTGTTTTGTCAGCCATCAGTTATTTTATCAAACTTAGTCAATATTCCCCTTTATAATACACAAGAAGTGTCAATGTGTACTTTGATATTTGAGTATATTTCATGTCAAAAAGCTAATAATAAAAATGGCACTTCCTGGGAGATCCTATTTCTTGGGGCATTGCGACAAACTAATTACAAAAAGACACTACAGCGTCAAACAAAACACCATAGAAACAAGTCGTCTTTTCACCAAAAATTTTCGTCTCCTAGTTTAAAGTATACCACCCGCAAGATCCATGTTGACTATAAAATATGTCTTAGCAAAGTCTACTGCGTGGAAACAGAAAACTGAAATACGAGAAGACTCAGGAACTAGTTTTTCTTCTGCTTGTCTTAATAATTATCACAAATTGTTCTTAATATTCACAAGTGTAAAAGTGTCAAGCAACTCTCAGTAGTATTCAGTCTATACAAAACAATAATTGCATATTCTGAGGAAATACAGACAGTAAGTAAGTTTGAAAAGCATTACCGAATGATTCACAATACTTTTTGGCACTGAATAAAACTGTTTCCAGTTTGAATAAAACTACAGGTATCCACCTGCAATATACTACATGTAATTTGCCCTTGGCCATGTTATGAAATATTATACATTTTACATATGCAAGTATTACTTAATAATTGAAAATTGAAACATGAAAACATGAACAGAAATTGCACTTATTTCACACTACTAAGGACCTTGTTTAAAACTTTTAGTGGCATGATGGCAGAATAATAAAAAATATAAGCCTAGAAAATGTGTGACTGAGTTGTGCAATAGGAAACTGGAAATTGGCATCTATTCAAATGCAAAATTCTTTTTTTAACACCAAAAGAAGAATGAACTGAGAATCACATCACATTTAAGTCACTTCAAATGAGCAACTACCATGCAATACACTTTTTGTGATCATTTTAATCAGCTAATCTCACATAAGAAAGGGACAACAGGTCTCCTGGAAAATTAGCCCTCCTTTTGAAAGAAAACAGAAGAAAAGAAAAAGACAATAGAACAGACGATAGCAATAGCTATTTAGCATGCAGGTGTAAATCACTAATGGCGTGAAACAAACTGCTGGTTGGCTGCCTGTTATCTCATCAAAGCAAACCCACTTAACTCAGCGATGCCAAGCTTACGTCTCATAACTTATTTTCTTCAAAGAAATAAGTCAAGTTCTTGAAAAAGCTCTCAGCAAAATAGCAAGTAAAATCAAAACATATTTACAATATTAACAGTGCCTTGGAGAGGGTCTCTTTTCCATGCTATGGAGACCAAAATAACTAACAAGCATTTAGCATTGTTATGTTAATATACATCTGCCTTCAGAATCTTGTTGGAGTATATTACAAATCATCTATTTCAAACATATCTCAATATTGACAATACACATGAAAAGAGTGAATATAATCACCAGCATCGCTGAAAACTCAATCACCTTCTTCTACACGCTTCCCTTCACACCAGCACTTAATAAAAGTCTATTGAAATTTCTGAAATAGATTCAAATTGCCTCACATCTGGGATACCATTTAAAGAAAAAAAACCTACTTACAAAGAGAATGGCAGAATAATTTTTTCGATGCTATCTAGTTGCAAATAGATTACTTTTAGAGAGACTCCATTGTTAAATGACAGAGTTGCTGTGTTATTCTCTGTACTTGGCACACAAACAAGAATATTTCACCTTGCAGGTCCCAGGCAACTCTTAATTTTCAATTTAATTTACTAGTTTGAGTCTTTTTTAAAGAGAAATGAAGATCAAACACTAGGATTTAGAGCTTTCGTGTAAGCTTTTAGGACTGTATCAGCCAGGATGAAGTTATGATATCCTCTTGTATGAGTTTTAGAATACTAATTAAAAGTTATTTTAATCAGATCTGCTTTTCTGGCACACTAGTCTCTGGCAGAATTACTTCCACTAATCAATAAATAATCTGCATTTACTGTGCTTTTAATTTTAAGCCTCAGAGCCCTTCACAAGATGAAAATAGCAAATTGAAACCTGTGAATTTTACCTCTGCTAAGAAATGGCCAAAAGTAAAATGCAGTTTCTTTTTTTGTAATGGGTTATGATGAGTTAACGGATCACAGGAATAGCTTATTACCAGACAAGAGAATAAAACTTGCCATCAAGATTCAACTTAGCAAGCTGTAATAAATATTTATTATAGCAGGATTATTCTAGGGAGAGTAGTAACTAAAATCTAATTTAATGTACCATAACAGATTAGAAACTAACTATGAAAAATATTTTTCTCTCACCTTTTGATTGAGAGTCCACACTAGCTTCTGTGTCATCAGTTTCGCTGCTTTTACAGCATTCTGATTGCTCTGTGTGTTCTCTTTTGACGCTCACAGGTTCAATATTATTGTTATCAGACTCTTCATGAGAGCTTGGTCTTCTTGGGCTAGGGCTCAAAGGTTGATCTCCTTTCATACGCGTGTCACTGTCCTTCTCAGGTTTTCGCGGGGAAATCCTCTCTTTTGATGCCCTATCTAAGCTTGCCTCTTTCTCGAGTTCAGAGCTTTTGTACAAGGTATCAACGTGGTGATCACGTTCCAACAAGTTTCGCTGATGTTGTAAATGATGGAAAGGAAAGGCATGTTCGGGGGGAACGACCCTGCGGAACGCACCAGTTCCATTAAACACTGCGGTTGGTCCGCTTGTTTTATGCAGAAGCCCTCCTCCTAAATGGTGATGCAGCTGAAGAAAATGAGGGCCAAATTCATGCGGCATTCTTTCTGCATAGTGTTCTGTACCAGGATAAAGGGCAAGATGCGACGACCTGTGTTGATAATGTGTTGAGTTCAACACCATCCTGTGAACAGCTTCACCATCAATGTAGCGGTTAGATGGTGAGGAGTACACCGCGTGATAATCATTCATAGGTCCTGGAGATGATGCTGTAGAACGTGCAGCCTCGGCAGTTGACGCAAGTACCATAAGTGCAGGAGAAGTCAGAGGATTAGGTATATAAGCTGGTCCACCAAGCTTTTCCATCTGATTGACTGCACAGTAAGCAATTAATGGAAGAGTAAAAAAATTCAAATGAGTCAAAAATTAAAACTCAATTCTTTCCTCAAGCTTCACATAGTAACAAATGAAAGTGATACATTTTAGATCCAAAAGGGAAAGAAAATTTTCACATCATGCCAGTGAATTCAGCGCTCCGCTGTTTTCACCTTGAAATTAGCCCTAATCTAGTGAGTTCCTTAATAACGACACATAATATATTGAAAAAAAAAATGGGAAATGGGTTTCAAATAATTAATTTCATGTCATAACAAACTCGGCCACAATATTTGAAAGAGCAACTACTTAAAAGAGAATATATTAGCGATAACAAATACCAAAACCTCAATTAAAACAGAAATGTACTTCGTACTTAAATTTTATCCAGTCCGTCATGCAGACATTTTCCGCAGGAACCGAAAATTCTGCGTGTTTTCTCGGCATTCAAAACACCAGACGATTTGTGTTCAGCAACCTGGGTTTTTGCAGTTAGTGAATTCCACTTTCCACGATTTCTGCGCTGTATTTGGAAAGAGCAGTCGCAAGGCTTCCGATAATCAAAGCCCGATTCCTACACCCGGATCGCTCGCGTTTACCAAACTCGAAATTACCAATAAAGCAAAGAGCTTTGTAAACCACTTAGTTGGCCGGACCGGACGTCTACGAGTGGCAAAAACCAATGAGATGGAGATAAAAATGCTTGTTCCAATGCGAAGGAGAAGTTATTGCCGTGGTGTAAGTGCCAGCTCGGACTAGTTAACCGGAAGATGCGGTAGATTGACCAAAGATAGAGACAGATACCCCGCAAATAGAAAGAACAGCGAACTGGATATTACAGCTGGAGCAAGGCCGCTTTTATTTTGAACCTATAGAGCATGCGCAAAAGCGGCCTGTATCTCGTTTCCATGTCAGCCTGTCTGGTACTCAGTCAAAAATAATTCTTCCTTCTCAATTCGCGATAAAGACTTTTCGTCGCCACAAATTCTCCCGCTAACATAAACAAAATAGCATCAATTTTGATATTTTCAAAAGAACCTGCTGCTGGCTTCTTAAACTAACAGTTCGCGGTGATACTTTCCAATTTCGCACAAACATCCGGGCTGAAAGTCGAACTTTAATAAAAAAATCTCACTAAAACACCTTGAGGGAAATGACCTATTTAGCCTCATTTGTAATGCAGAGGTAAAAAATTATTTAAAACTGCAAACAGGTATTTGCTTACAGAAAAATTAATTTCCAAATTTTCCAATGCGTAGACAATAACCACTTGGCGAAAAGAGATTGAAAATTGGGTTTTTTTAAATACAGATCTTGAACTAAAGACAATGTTGTTCCCATTCATTTAATAGCCTGGTCGAGACCGAGCACCAAAAACAAATGTTAAGCAAATGGTATTGAGCGAGTGATAACAAAGTTATTTTTAATGAACAAAACTGATGAAAGAAAAATTTATTTGCAGTGTTCTCGCTATCTAATTTTCACCAATTCGCACACATGGAAATTCTCTCTTAGCCAGCCGAACGTAATTAGCCAAATCTCCTAGATTTTTCCGGCAGTTGAACTGAATCTCGCTTTATCAATTAGTTCCCTGGTGTTTGGGAGAAGTTTCCGTCTCTAAATATTTATTAAATGAAGACTTTAGTTTGTCAGAGCACAGGATATGAAATAGTTAAGCGCTCAAAAGGCCTCTCGCGGGCATATTGTTCCTGGGGGCTTAGAATCTTCAACTTCATTTAAGTCGGCGAAATTTGGCACAGTAAAGAACTATTCAAAAATGATACATTGTTTTTATTTCTTAAGCCACTGTTTCCCGGAGTCTTGGCTCGTTGAAAAGTGAGCCGACCGATCCTCTAATTTAACAGTCAAACATGTCAACTACCCGTCTTTAATATGTCGCAAGACTGCCTGTCCAATTCGCAATATATAATTTCGAAGTGGCTATTATGAAAAAAGGAGATGGTATTGAAAGCGAAACTACAAAATGAAATCATCACTCACATTTTTTTCTTTCAAATAAGTGCCAGTTGCGCTTTTAATAAAGACGGTTATTCTTCATCGAAAGACAAATTAGCATTTTTTTTTTATTTTTTAAAAAAGCTGTGTCTAAAAACTTAGTCAGTAAATATCGGAATACTCGCCAAAATAGATTGTACTTTATTTAAGCCGTGCGCCTAATTCACTGTGGAAGAAAGCGAAAATCAAACATTCTCAATCCATTAACTGTCCGTTTAAAGGTTAAAATTATAATCAGGAAGGAGCAGTCGCTCGGTTGGACCAATTTCTATGCTAATTAAAGTTATTTAAGCTAGGAATATACTTAACAAGAGATTTTTTCATATTGAAAAATCTTCTGAAGGTCTGTGTGTGTTTGTCAGACCCCTCGCCGAGTGGAAATTTATGAATGCTATTCAATTGTTCGACGATTTTGAATTTCGTTGAAAAATAAAAATAGCAATGACTCAAAAAATGGACTCCAAAGTGGTTTTACTTAAGCTTAGGATTAAACGACGAATTACGAAGATTCACTTGCTTAAATCTTCCGCCCGCATAAGTCACCAAAGATGGCGAAATTGTGATAGCGGTGAAATGATTTTGACACGTTTGTATGGCATGCGTCAGCCACTTGGAGGTAAAATCGATAACTTTTTCGCCGTATCAAAACACAAACTTGTCGCAAACTAGTTAATATTGAATTGTGCCGGTTGTTTCAGCGTAAATTTAAAAAAAAGAAACTTCCGAAAAAGTGGACAGTATCAACCCACGCGAAGTTTAGAAGTAGCTTTTTTACTCCGCGTTGTTCTAGGACACATTATAAACACTCAGCTGGGTGCAAGAAGGTCTGAACTAAAGACGAAATTAACTTGTTTAAAAAAAAAATCGGAAGGAAGCTGCTTAACAATAGGCAAGCGGCGTGCTGCGAGCTATACGGGTTCATTTTGGCATCTTTTCACTTTAAAGTATTCTCCACTAAATTTTAATTTTTGTTATCACCGGCAACTTTTAATTCAAAGCGGGAAAAATGAGGATTAATTGCTCTTTGATGGTTGGCGAACTCTGAAAACAAGCGAGTCGTAAGACCACTATTTAGCTCACTCGGCCGTCATTTAACTTCAACTAAACTCTTTTAAGAGAAATTTAAATTTTGCAGCTGCTGTAGGTGTTTTTGTTCAACTGAAATGATTGTATTATCATGGTTAATAAAGCAAAATTAATCAAAGGTACACGGTCTTTGTTTGTATTATACAAACAGAGCCTATTGGAAAACTAACCCACTTTTTTACTTCACGTTAATAGGCGCTCTGTCCAAATAAAACACTTGCATAACAACCACTGCAATTTACAAATTTTATAGTAAATTTGGCGAGCTAAATTCCTGTTTACAAAGAGTATGCATTTATCTCTTTATTCTGGCCGTGCGGCAAATAAATCGACGACTGAAGAGCTTTAGGAAATTTTAAAATTGAAACTTCGACTTGCAAAACCCTAGCAAAGTGATAAGATGTTTTCATTCGCGCACCTGTTCCGAAATTTCCATAAAGAAATAAACTGCTGGGAGTTCCACACGCAAGTGATTTACAATTCTAATACAAATTTGTCAAACCTTAACTTCGGAGTCGAGTCATTTTGACTTTCGCTTTCAAATTCTACCACCCCAATCACAAAATTTTCGCCCTGAAATCGAAGTCTTTTTACGTCGCTGCGATTAAAATCAGTCCAGTTTCCGATTTCAAAGGGCTAAAGCGTATATTTAATAGTTTTTCAGTTGTACAAGACTGGCTTGCTCTGTCAACCATTCAACTGTCTAGTTTCAATTTTATGGCAGTGTGTAAATCGATGGTCCGTAGTCATGTAAAATAACCAATTAACAAAACTAAGTGAGCGCCCAGTTTGAAAATTGTCATCACGTAAAATCTCATTACGCCCGCCTAACGGCCACGAAATAGCCTTTTAACGCTTTACTTTGACAAAGCGATAAAGTTATTCTACAGTTCCGTCTGCCTGGTAAGTTAAATGTGTGCGATCAAGTCAAACGGAGAGAGATGAATTGTCAAGGAAAAAAGGAAGGCTATCTTAGGAGAGAACATTAACCTGTAAAAATAAACCGTGCTGTCTGCTCAATTCATAATCAAGTAGGTTGTTTTGGTTTCCTGGGAAGAAATGTTTATGACATGACGCTAGCGACTTCTCTCATAATCCTCGCTCTTTTGATGCCGCGTTACGTTATTATCGCCGGGAGCAAAACGCCGTTTAAAAAAATTAAAGTGAGCAGTGAAAACAAGCCTTTCTGGAGAGCTAATTCCTCTAAAAGAGAACCTCCCCGTGAAAGGGAGAAATTCACTTTGCGCGCAAAGAAGAATTTCTCGGAGGGCTTATACGAAAATTTAATAACAAAAATTCATTAACCGCCGCCCTCACTCTTAAATAACGATTGGGAAATATCAGCGCTGGGCTCTTTGAAGTGTAAATACTCTTTTATGCAAATTGTTAACGGTATCTGGCCTGTAAGAAGTATAATTACCTTAAATCTAAGTAAGCCATATGGTGGTTAATAGATCTGATGAAGAAAGACATCACGAAAATGAATCGAGACCTTTTAGTTTACTTCGTAGAAGTAATTCGATCTTGAGATAACTAAGTTACCGCGCGTTTAACTTCGATGCGCAGAACGCGCGAAGTTTTCACTAGAGGAAGAAAGATGATTTTCAAGAAAGAAACAATTTTTTTTTGCCGGAAGGCATGCATGCTTGTCATAAGATAGGTCAACAAAAAACGGCGAGGAAAAACTTTAGAATTGGGTTAAACAATACCGGCTCTACGCAAATTAAGACCACTGCGTTTTGCGCCCAAATTTTGTTAAGAGGTCTTCTCCGTTTTCGAGGAAGGGGAACTGAAAAAGTCGAAAATAACATCTAGACGGTATTAAATTTTTCGGATCAGAAAGTCTTTTGATAGTTTGTTGTTAAAATCACTCCTTTCTTTATCACAGATAAAATTTACTTAAAATGTATGGGTAAATTAGCGCGACAGCCCTCAACGAAATGGGTGTATATGAAAAGATTCGTTTGATCTCAACCGACCTAACGTTGATTAAATTTTAAGCTTTTATGGACTAGAACTTCGAGCAAAGGTGAATAAACGAATGTGCATAAATATTTGCTCTATAAATCAGGTTGAGGGATATAGGAAACCGCTCCGAATATTCAGAATTAACACCGCAAAACAATCGACAACTGTCATCCAACCTAACATAAATCTGCTAGCGAAACGATTAAATGGGTTCGGGAAAGCTAAATTCGATTCCCTGCACGGAACTCCTCTTGCCCAAAAATTCAAATAAGAGCAATATTCATCGCGTTGATTCGTGACTTTCGCTTTGCAAATGGTTTCATTGTACTTGAAGTCGGTTTTGTTTCAATCTTTTATTCAAGGTGTCATAAGACACGCTTCGGGAAAGTAGATCACGTTTTCTTGAAAATCAACTATGGTGTTTACGCCACCTGAATAATATTTGCTCTCGCGAAAGTCATTTAATTATCTACTCTTACTTAGTGGGTGAAGACACTGCAGTACGCAATAAGAACGAGTTATACACTGTGCAACTTAATTTCCGCTGACTGCGTCGAGCTGCGCAATCGAAAACACAAAATGTGGGGAAACTACAAAACTAGCTGATGGAAAGATTTTCGTACGTACAGAGCGATTCGCGTAAATTCGCGCGCATTTGAAAATTATCGTTATGGAAAAGTATTCTTCGTTTATGTCTTCATTGAATAAAATTTCATGAATAAATTGGACACATTCATTTCGGAGACGATTTTAAATGGGCATAGAAGACTATAATATCTACTGCTCACTTCGCCGTCACGGCTAATGACTGGAGAGTGATGTTTCTAAAAAGAAATTCGGTTCTAAATTAGCTTGCGAGTCACTATAAGTAACTACACTCACCTCGAACGGTATTGAATTCTCTAAATAGTGTGAGCGCTTTTTCGTGTCGAGCCCTCGAGCTTATACTGAAAATGCACACCAATTCATATTGGCGCCTCGGAAGTGGCTATTTAACACTCTCGCTACCCGGGCAACGTAAAATATGTCATTTAATGCTGTTAGGATGGGTTTAAACCAGTTATTATGGAGAATTAAACAAACGTACTCTATTTAATGTTGGTTGGGTTTGTAATTTATTGAATTT